CCTTTGTGTGCGAGCCCAGGGCTCCCCCCTTTCTCAGGCGTGCTTCGCATCAGTGCCCACAATCTGTCACTTAATCCCGGGTGACTGGGACTTGCTTTGCTTTGCTTTGCTTTAAGAAGGGCTGGGCCGGAAGGAGTTAACTCTTGAAGGGAATTGCGCTCATTTGAAAAATAAAATTAAAAAAAAAGAAAAAAAGAAGTGCGCACACTTTCTTTCCTTCGGCTTAAATGATAATTATATGATAAATACTGATATTTGTATCTGTCTTTCCTAAAACAACCACTATCGCCCTAGGCTCTGACTTGCTATCATTCTCAGAAAGTCCTTTTAGGAGAAAAAAACTTGGGGTGGGGGGCGGGGTGATGCAGGTTAGTGCTTATTAGTTCAGGAGTGGTATTGCCACTGTGCCTTGGTTTCCCGGCTTTGCTTCTTCTGCTTAACAGCTCTTAGAGAAAAGAACATCTGATGACTTTGTAACCATTACCTGAAAACTGTCGGAAGGTCTGCTGCAGGGAAGGGACTCCCCCCTCCCCCATTATCCTGCAAGCAAATTAATGAATACACCCTTGAATAATAGACCCGGTATAATTAGCACATTTTTCTGTCTTCTCATGTTTGTTTAACTTACATGGATGTGGAGGCCTCAGTGGACCCCAAGCTGCTGGTGGTTTTCCCAGAAATGAGAACCCAGGAATCTTCTCTGTCCCTCCAATGGCCTTCAAGTGCTGCGGTCCTTAGGCTTATAGAAGCAGTTTCTCTCCTACCCATTCCAATGGAAAGTAGTCCACTAGTTGGCATAAACACCATCTTCTAAAACAATTTTGATTCAGTTATTTTAAACATTTCATCATTGTTACTCAAAGGATCATTTTGATAAACAGTTTATTTTTTAAAATATATCTTTATTGATTTCAAAGAGGAAGGGAGAGGGAGAGAGAGAAACATCAATGATGAGAGAGTCATTGATTGGCTGCGGCCTGCACGCCCCCAAGTGGGGATCCACCTGACAATCCGGAGTCCAACCTCCCTGGATCTCCTGGATCCTAGGTTGATGCTCAACCGCTGAGCCACACCTGGCCGGGCATAGACAAGCAGTTTAGATGACTGATTTAAATTTATTAATTACAATTATTTGCATTCTTATTTAGCATGTAAAGAAATTCCAACTGAATTTTTTTTTTTTTAAATATGTTTTTATTGATTTTTAGAGAGAGGAAGGGATAGGAAGAGAGAGAGAAACATCAGTGATGAGAGTCATTGGTGGGCTGCCTCCTGCTGGGGACCGAGCCCACAACCCGGGCATGTGCCCTGACCAGGACTCAAACCCCCGATCTCCTGGACCCTAGGTCCATGCTCAGCTGCTGAGCCACGCACAGCCAGACTGAATTTTCTTCTTAGTGAAAGTTTTTCTCTTCTTTCTAAAACACTACATTTCTCACATGAATCGTGTCTCTGAATTTTATTCTTAACCCTAATTTAATAATGACATCTGTACTCAGATTATTTAAATGTTTAAAAATACATTGAAGCAGGTAACACTCCAAATGTGTATATCAAGTACTAAATATTTATTAGAACCATATATTCACAAAGATAGGAATTAATACAGCTTATAAATATAATGAGCGAATTCTTTCATATTCAGAAAACTTCTCCTTGGATTTAACTTTTAGTTTTGTGAAAGGAATTTGGATACTTTAGGAAGCACATTGGTGATACTTTAAAAATATTACCCTAGTGGATGGATTAAGATGAACTGCTATGTTCCAAAAACAAATCCATGCCTGTCAGTCCAAGTACTTTACACTGAATGAAAGCAATTTATATTTAATTTTTTTACCTTAGAATGATAAAATATACTAGCAATCATGTTTAGGTGGACTAATTGCTACTTTACTATTTCATTATTCTGGGTAGCAGTTTTTCTTGTGCATATTTAATAAAGAATTTCCACTGCATTTACAAAGTGTCTGATCAAACCTGATATGTGATTGTACCGTTTCCAAAAGGGAGAGACACTTCTGAGTGCAGACAGTTACAGTTGGAAGTTATCTTGGAGGTCATTTAAGGCAACTCCCTCCATTTACCAGTGAGAAACTGAGAGTAGAGACCAAAGTGACTTGCCTGTGGTTAAAAAGTCCACGAGCAGCCAGCTCTCCCGAAACCTAAATGCCTTACTCCTTTGATTGGTGCTCAGTCTGCAACACCTCTTAAAATCTATCCAGTTTAACAAATATCTGTCGAGGGACTGCTGCAAAGTGCTCTGTGAGGTTCTCAGAAGGCATGTAAAGTCCAATAAGCCACGATTAATGTTCAAAGAATCTCACAGTTCAGAGGTGGAGCCAATTGTACCGAGAGATACTGGAATACAAGCTGGAAAATACAAGTATAGAGGGAAGAAAGCAAATCCTGCAGGTTCTCCAAGATGTGTTTTTCCAGCACTCCTTCACCCCACAAGATTTGTGCATTCTTGTAAGTTGTCTTTTCTCAAATTTCCATTTGCCGAAGTGCTATTTCCTCCCTCTCCCCCACCTATGATTTTAACGGTAAAAGTGAGACAGAGACTGACAGTAAAATAGTCCCCTTCAAACAAGCACCTGCTCCTCACCCCCC